TCTAAACATGTTAAATTTAAAATTCAGTGAGGATGTATCATATATAGGTGACAATTGTCATAATCGCTATTTTTGAACTTTTTCAAATTTTTTAAAGGAAATATCTAAAAATATATATTCTAAACATGTTAAATTAAAAATTCAGTGAGGATGTATCATAGATAGGTGACAATTGTCATAATCGCTATTTTTGAACTTTTTCAAATTTTTTTAAAGGAAATAGCTAAAAATATATATTCTAAACATGTTAAATTAAAATTTCAGAGAAGATGTAGCATAGATAGATGACAATTGTCATAATTGCTATTTTTAAACTTTTTCAAATTTTTTTAAAGGAAATATCTAAAAATATATATTCTAAACATGTTAAATTAAAAATTCAGTGAGGATGTATCATAGATAGGTGACAATTGTCATAATCGCTATTTTTGAACTTTTTCAAATTTTTTTAAAGGAAATAGCTAAAAATATATATTGTAAAGATGTTAAAATAAAATTTCAGTGAAGATGTACTATAGAAAAGTGACAATTGTCATAATCGCTATTTTTGAACTTTTTTCAATTATTTTAAAGGAAATAGCAAAAAATATATATTCTAAAAATGTTAAATTAAAAATTCAGTGAGGATGTATCATAGATATGTGACAATTGTCATAATGGCTATTTTTGAACTTTTTCAAATTTTTTTAAAGGAAACATCTTAAAATATATATTCTAAACATATTAAATTTAAAATTCAGTGAGGATGTATCATATATAGATGACAATTGTCATAATCGCTATTTTTGAACTTTTTCAAATTTTTTTAAAGGAAATATCTAAAAATATATATTCTAAACATGTTAAATTAAAAATTCAGTGAGGATGTATCATAGATAGGTGACTTTAACATGTTTAGAATATATATTTTTAGCTATCTCTTTTAAAAAAATTTGAAAAAGTTCAAAAATAGCGATTATGACAATTGTCACCTATCTATGATACATCCTCACTGAATTTTAAATTTAACATGTTTAGAATATATATTTTTAGATATTTCCTTTAAAAAAAGTTCAAAAATAGCGATTATGACAATTGTCACCTATCTATGAAACATCCTCACTGAAATTTTAATTTAACATGTTTAGAATATATATTTTTAGCTATTTCCTTTAAAAAAATTTGAAAAAGTTCAAAAATAGCGATTTTGACAATTGTCACCATCATCCTCACTGAATTTTTAATTTAACATGTTTAGAATATATATTTTTAGATATTTCCTTTAAAAAAAATTTCAAAAATAGCGATTATGACAATTGTCACCTATATATGATACATCCTCACTGAATTTTAAATTTAACATGTTTAGAATATATATTTTTAGATATTTCCTTTAAAAAATTTGAAAAAGTTCAAAAATAGCGATTATGACAATTGTCACCTATATATGATACATCCTCACTGAATTTTTAATTTAACATGTTTAGAATATATATTTTTAGCTATTTGCTTTAAAAAATTGAAAAAAGTTCAAAAATATTGATTATGACAATTGTCACCTATCTATGATACATCCTCACTGAATTTTTAATTTAACATGTTTAGAATATATATTTTTAGATATTTCCTTTAAAAAAATTTAAAAAAGTTCAAAAATAGCGATTATGACAATTGTCACCTATCTATGATATATCCTCACTGAATTTTTAATTTAACATGTTTAGAATATATATTTTTAGCTATTTCCTTTAAAAAAATTTGAAAAAGTTCAAAAATAGCGTATATGACAATTGTCACCTATCTATGATACATCCTCACTGAATTTTTAATTTTAACATGTTTAGAATATATATTTTTAGATATTTCATTTAAAAAAATTTGAAAAAGTTAAAAAATAGCGATTATGACAATTGTCACCTATCTATGATATATCCTCACTGAATTTTTAATTTAACATGTTTAGAATATATATTTTTAGCAATTTGCTTTAAAAAAACTCAAAAAAGTTCAAAAATAGCGATTATGACAATTACCACTTATCTATGGTACATCATCACTGAAATTTTGATTTAACATGTCTACAATATATATTTTTATCTATTTCATTTAAAAAAGTTCAAAAATAATTATCATGACAAATGGCACTTTTCTATGGTACATCACTTAAAAATTTTAAAATATAACTATGATGAATAGTTAATCAGAGCATTATAATTTAAAGAAGCTTTAAGTAACTTTCCCGCCTATAATATTAATATATACTAAATGTTATTTGACTCTTGGTCGAAAAAAATGATCTAGATAATTGGGTTAGGGGTGAAAAAAAGCAACTCTAACTTTAAGTCGTCTTTAAAAAAAAGATCCATATTTTGGGTCGGATTGAATAAAACGACCCGATGTTTGAGTCTGAGTCAGAAAAACGACCCAAACTTTGAGTTGGAGTCGAAAAATACGACCCAAACTTCAAGTTTGAGTCAAAAAATACGACCCAAACTTCAAGTTTTAGTCGAAAAATACGACCCAAACTTCAAGTTTGAGTCGAAAAATATGACCCAAACTTCAAGTTTAAGTCGAAAAATACGACCCAAATTTCAAGTTTGAGTCGAAAAATACGACCCAAATTTTGAGTCGGAGTCGTAAAAAACGACCCATATTTTGGGTCGAGGTCGTTTTTTTCGGCTTGGACTTGGGTCGGAGTCGAAAAAAACGACCCATATTTTGGGTCGAAGTCGTTTTTTTCGGCTTGAACTCTGGTCGAAGTCGTAAAAAACGACCAAAACTTTGAGTTGGAGTCGAAAAAAACGACCCAAAATTTGGGTGAGCTCTGTTCGAGCCGACTCGGCTAAGCCGATTAACAACACTAATAACAGCGAATGACTTTTTGGCACGATAATGTATAACAGCTGCATTAAAAAAGAATTTATATTAGACATATTATCGATTATATTTTACGATAATAATATTTTAAAAAATTAAAAGTTTAAAACAATCTCTCTTTCTGTTTAATATAATTTTTTTTCCGATCAGATTAATTTTAAACAAGCCATATTCTAGGTTCAAATTAAATAAAATTTTATTCTATATAAAAGATGGATATACCAAATATTAAAATATCAAGATGTTGTAACCCATTTAATTTACAAAAACATGCATATTATCGCAAAAATCTAAGAAAGATTCAACCTTGGATGACCAAAAAAAATTTACCAATCAATTTAAATATGCTAATATGCTCTTCATGCCGACAAAAATTAGCAAAGCTTCCTTATAATGACAATGATATTGATTCTCCTCCTCATATAGTTAATCAAGAGGCAATTGAAAACATTAATATATCCCTACAATCAATTGGGGAATCTCCCATTAAAATAAAACGCTTACGTGAAAAGAAATATCCAAAGAAAAAAATATCTAGCGTGAAAAAAGTTTTAGCGACTAAAATTATACCATTATCTTCATCAAATGATAAAAAATTCGATGAAATTCTCGATACCTTAAAAATCAATTTCCCACAGCTTTCGATAACAAACAAATATAGATTATTAACATTATTACCATCAAATTGGACAGTAAGAAGAATTATAGAAGAATTCAATATTTCATATCATATGGCGATAAAATCTAAAAATTTAATAAAAGAAAAGGGGTTTTTTTTAACACCTAATCCTAAACCCGGCAAAACAATAGATGCCGCCACCGTTGATATTGTCAAATCTTTTTATAACAATGATCAATATAGTAGATCGATGCCTGGGAAAAGGGATTTTGTAACCATAATAAAGAACAGTGAAAAGATTCAAGTCCAAAAAAGATTAATTTTAATTAATTTACGAGAGCTATATCTTAAATTTAAAGATATTCATTCAAATATTAAAATTGGATTCTCTAAATTTTGTGATCTTCGTCCCGAGAATTGTGTATTTGTTGGCAGTAGTGGTACCCATTCAATATGTGTTTGCTCCATTCATCAAAACACAAAATTAATGCTGTTGAGTTTGCCCAAAATTACTTTAAATGAAGATTTAATTAAGATTACATATAAGGATATATTACCAAAAATAATTTGTAATCCAGCATTACCAAAATGTTTTTTTGGTGATTGTGCTCAATGCCCTGGATCTTCTAATTTAAAGGTTCCTTATAAAATTTAAGAATATAATTATCTTATTAAAATTATATTATTTGTAAAAGTAAAAATTTAGTCCAACAAACACCAATAGCGGGGAGAGGCAAACCACTTCAAGGGGCTTCCTAAACCATTGGTATTTTTAGGCCATAATAAATAAAAATGCATTTTTATTTATTAATAATGATACGTATAGAATAATTTTATTGTTTTATTGTTCAAAATATCATAAAACTTATAAATAGAAGCTAGTTTTATATAAAAATTGAAACTTAATTTTGGTTAATTTAATAAACATTTTAGACTTTAAAAAAATAAGAATCTTAAGGAGTGATTAAGATTTCTTAGCATAAATCCTAAATACCAATCATAAACAGCCATATTACCTTTTCAAGATTTTGAAATTTTTTTCATTATTAACTGCCATAATTGACAAGTATGGTTTAGCAAACCCCGCTAGCTCTAAAGTGACAAATCATATTATCTAGATATAATAAATACTCATAAAACTTTCCCAAGTTATAGAAGAGTGTTTAAACTTTGCTATAAAATTTAATTTACATATAAATGATTATATATTTTGATAAAAATTAAAATTCTGTCATGTAAAAATCTTTTGATAATTTCATCAAAATTTTATTTCTTAAATAAAATTTTTAATAAATAATTATTTCAAAATATTAAACTAATAAAAACTAAATTATGATAAAATTTTAACCCTCTGGTGTATTTAATTTTAAAATGAGATTAAATGGATTGCTTAAAATTATGTTATCACACTTTAGCAATACGTTATATTTTTTCAGCACCAACATGATTTTTATTAAAATAAAATCATATATTTATTAAATATTTAAATTCAAACTTTCACAAATAAATTCTTTTTAATGCTCTTATATGATTTTTTCTCAAGCAATATATAATGGAAAAAAATGATAGGATAAATGGTATACAAACATGTTTTTTTGCGTAAATTTTACATTTAAATAATTTATTAAATTTTTTTGTCCCAGTCGTCCCAGCATTCACAATAATAGCATCCGTTCCTACGCCTTATTTACGACAACGCAAACTGCATACAACATGATGGCACAACCCTATAATATATTTATGATTTAAATAACATTAAAATGCAAATTCCCTAAAATATATAAAATATAAGTGTTATGTCAAGAGTTGTTTTTTTTACCTATCTAAAAATAAATAAATATATGTCGTAATTGAAATTGGAAACTCCATGGGGATTAAGATTTTCTCATTTAAATTATTTACTGAGCCATTTCAATTTTTTTTAAATCTGATTCCACTGGAATTTAATTCCTGAATGCATACCTAACCTATAAATTTCACAACAGTTTTGCAGAAATTTTGATATATTTTTTTATATTTATTTTCAAAATCTATATATAAAAAAGGATATAAATTAAAAGTATTTCGGCAAAATTGTCTGATATTTACGGTGTCATTTTGTAATTTTGTATCATTCGATATATTTAGAAAATACAAATCCAATATAATTTTATATTGCCCTATCCTCATTTTATATTAATAATTATCTAGAAATATACTAAAATTTTATGGAAATTTCACAGCTGGGCATGATTGATATTTATAATTTATGCTAAGAAATCAAAATCTCTAATTTCTATATATAATTACAATTAGCTTAAATCTAAAAGTATTATGATATTTTGAACAATAAGATCATTCTATACATATCATATTAATAATAATAATAATAATAATATGCATTTAAATTCATTATAGTCAAAATATATTAATGAATTAAGAGGCCTTGAAGTGGTTTTCTTAACCCCTCTATTGGGTTTGATCAAAATTTCCACAAAAATAAAATTTCAAAAATATGATTTTCTTAAAAATATTTCAGAGGCGTTTTTATAGAGTTCGTTATAGGTATCGTTTCATATAGTATTCTTTATAATATCCTAATGAACAAAGGAGTTATAGCCGATTTAGTAAAAATCAATTTGACTAGTCCCAGTCTCACCTTGGTAAGAATAAGAATAAGAATTTTTTTTTAAATAGAATTTAAAATAATTTGCTTTTGCTAAAAAAAATAATTTAAGGCTATGTCCTAAATTTGAAAAAAATATTGCAAATATAAGCTACTTCCAGGAAATCAGTGCCTTCCATCTCCCTTAAGGAAATAGCAAATAATCGTTTGTAGTTCATTTCTTTAAGATGGGTGGAGGGTATCTAAATAAAATCAATGTATTTGCTTGACTCCTTTATATATATAAATAGATTGTTTTCAATTGAGCAACTTCAAATGATATGATTTTACCTAAAGTTATATTATTGTTTAAAAAAATTTCGTAGAACTGCTCCTAATTCGAGGTTATCTCAAAATTTTCTTATTGTTTAAATTTTTTTCTTATTCTTACAAAATCAATTCAATTTGGTTTTGAAATCAAGGACAATTACATAAAACATGTCATGCATTATCATTTATGAAATCTCTTTCTTTATATAAATTGGTATAATTAATAAATGTGTTTAAACCAATTAGGTCAGATGATTTATCTTATTTCATTTTCCTAATAGGGATTCGTTATAATTCCGTTTTTTTATTTCATTTATTAATTCTATAAAAGTGGAATCGGTTCCAAATAATTAAATAGGATAATTTTAATTTACTTCTAACAATTAACTAAGGCTCTACATCAAGATATTTAAAGTTTACTTCAATAATATAAAATTTTAGAGGATTCTATAAATCGTTTTTTATAGAGACCATTATCTGAAACTAGTTAAGAGGGGGGGGGGGATACTTTCAGGATTAGTGTTGTCAAAAGTTAGATGTTTTTATATAAAAAAAACATAGAGAGAAAATACATTTTTAACTAAAAAATTCTTAAGAATTCAGTTTCTCATTTAGTTGGCACAAAGGGTTTCTTTCTTTTGTTCAAATCTAGATGCCGCATAAATTTTGATTTAGCGGTTTTTCAAAAGGTATCGAAATTATGGTTTTCGATTTTAGACGCTTTTGTAGTTTTTAAGAAAATAAAAAAAAACACCCAAAGAATTGTAGATTGTCATGTTTTTGGGTTACTCTGGTTTAGTATAATTTTTTTTGCATAAGTAAATCTTGTATGCAAGATGATTCAAAGTGGCAATATGTAAGAATGCAGTAAAGCTATGCATTAATTTTTGGATTGATTTGAGATGACTGGTTTTATGGATTCCTTAATCAATTATCTTGCCGATGACTCAAGAAAATCTTTTTTTTCAGAAATTTAGTTAATTAGATGGGAAGAAAACTATAAAACATTTTTCTATGAAAGTGAGGATCAATATAAATGATCACAAAAAAATTATCGTTATTAAAAAAATTTTTGAACGTTGCTCGAACAAGCTATATATCAGTACAACTCTTTTTACACTTTGTTAATAAGTTAGATATTTAGGAAAGATTTAATGTTATCAGATACTTCTATTATATTTTTAAAAAGTATCTTAGGTAAAAAATACTTTTTTTATAACTACTGCGCCTATCATCTTTCATATAATTTAAGATCTCTAATTCAATATCATTTACTCAATTATTTGAAAGTGATGTGAAATAAAACAAAAGTAATCACATCTTCATCAATTGAAGAATTTGCTTACATATTTATTACAATATTTTTTTCAAAATAATGAAGGCTTCATATATTAATAAATCCTGAGTTAATTTTTTTTTCTTTTTCATTATCAATCCTACGATTTTTAAAGTAGGGATGAGAAATAATGGCCAAAATGAGGTTTTAAAGTTATGATCAAATTCATATATTTTTAAATATTTTATTTAAAGAATTTTCTACTGCAATAGCTAATGATTTGGAAAAATGCAGCTCAGTTTAAATTAAATTTTTGATTTTTTTTAAACAACATTTAATATTGGAACTTATTTCCCATGATAGGTTTATTTGGCCTTGTATTTTGTCAATCGATAGGGGACAATATATGGCAACATTCTTCTAAATTTTGCATTTCAATATCTCTTAGTTTTAGAAATCACAATTTTTCACATAATTTTAGTAATTTGCTTTCAAATTTGCTCATATCTTTCAAATCTAATAAAATAAATTATTAAGGAGAGGGGTTGGGGTTTCCTCTAGTGAATTTTTTTTTCTTTCATGCATACGCTAATTAAGTCGGATTGTTTAAAATTTATTTACATTTATTTTGCATTAAATCTTAAATAGGGCCATGCACCCGATCCCATGTTATTATGTTTAATTTAAAATTACCGATATTTTAAAATCAATTATAAAAAATAGTAAATAATTGTTACATGTTGGTAACATGTAATATATAATAATGTTTTATTTCAATTTAAAGTTTAATGTTTATAAAGGCATTAATGTCATATTATTGTCTAAAGCGTTAATATACATGTCCACTTAAATGATTATGGTTAAATAATGTTTAATTTTGATATATATACGTTATTTCGGAAGAAGATTACCTAAAATATTATCGATGATGCTTATATTGATTAAAAAATGATATTCAAACAATTAAAATTTTTGTCTTAAAAAATACATTAATTATTAATTTATATAAAAGAATTCAAATTAGATAAATAGTAAAAATAAAATATACATTCTCAATCAATACTACCACTTTCTAAGTTCTTATCAATCACTACTACTGAGCACCGAGTACTAGCTAACTCATTAATAAAAATGACCAAAGAAATACTATATAATAATATACAAACCCTTTTATTAATTAATAATATGGAAAAAAATAAATATATAAAAATATTTATAAAAACTTGCAAATATTATTATTTAAAAAAAGATAACTACCTAAAAAATAAGCGAATTCTAATTTTTTTTTCTGATTTTTAGCCCTTTCCAAATTTGAGGTAAGGCTCAGACCCCCCTTCCCTTTATTTACAAATTATTTAACTATATTTTAAAATACTTTTTCGATCTTATTACTGATATAAAGATTCAAGAAAAAAATTTATATAGTCAAAAATAATTTTCATATTTTTTATAGATATATAGAAGAAAGAGAAGCGAAAAGATATTTTCTTAATATTTTATATTCATTATTATTATATAAATTTGTATAAGTAGCCGTCGCTTATGCTTCATTAAAAGAATAGAGTCTGATTCACCATGTTTTAAGCCAAACTCTAAAAAAAGCTAAACCTATTTTTTAAGCGAAACCTATCATCTTAGCCTCGATCAGAGTTTAAACTTAAAAGATAATTCATTCTAGAATCTTGCCTCAAGAATTATTGAATTTTTTTCGACTATTATGATTTAGCCGATCTAAAACCACTATAGGCAAAAAATTGTCCAATTTTAACATAAATTTTTATATGTTTAAATACGAATTTGAAATTCAAATAGGTAGGTTATTAGTTGGTTAGAATAAATCAACGTTTAATATGAAAGAATTAATAAATTGTGATATTATTTAAACAGGATTTGGGAAAAAGTTTTTTAAACATTCATTAATTATACCAATTTATATAAAGAAAGAGATTTAATAAATATGAAAATGCATGATATGTTTTATACAATTAAAAATTTGTATTGTTTTAAGGATATAAGAAAATTTAAACAATGATATAAATATTTTGACATAACTTTGAAATAAGATTGTCTCTTTAAAAAATAAAATTTAAGTAATTTAACACATTTATATAAATCATATAAATTATACAGTTGCCAAATTGTAAACAATCAAATATTTTATATAAGGAATGAAATAGTCAAACATTATTAACATTTTTTTTAAAACTTGAAATTTTTCAAAGATTTTACTAAGGTATGCTATTTGTTATAATATATCTATAAAATTTTTATTAAATATATATAATAAAATAATTTTTAATAGATACCCTCTAGACATCTTATATAAATGAACCAGAAACGATTGTTTGCTATAACTTTGATCATGATGGCATTATTAAGTACTATGGTTAAAGCCCACATTGATCAAGAAAATCAGCCGGGAAAAGGAAAGCGACGTAGATATTATATTTCATCATATTTTTCAATCTAATGTTCAAATGTTTTTGTTAATTTTTTTTTGCTTAATTTATTATTTAAGGAAAAGCAAATTATTTTAAATTCATTGTAAAATTTTATTTTTTATTGGCTAAGGGAGACTGGGGATAGTCGAACTGATTATTTGCAAAATCGGCTATACCTCTTTTGTTCTTTATTATGAACAATATATGAATCGATACCTATTAATTTACATTATAAAAAGGCTTTATAAATATTTCTAAGAATTTGATCATATTTGATATTATATTTTTTTCAAAAAAGTTAAATTTTGCTCAACAGGCATCAATAGCATGCAGGGTTTCGAACCGAACCGAACCGAACCGCCAAACCGGAATGAACCGTTATAATTTTCTGAACCGTAACCGTAACCGAACCGTTATAAAGAAACTATAAAAAGAGCGAACCGAATCGTTATAAATATTTTAAACCGGTTCAAAACGGTTTTAAAAAATAATTAAATTTAAACATTATTAACCTAAATTTGAAATTTGAATTTTCCTTGGGGAAATTTTTAAACTCTTTATTTCTTTTCAAATTGAATTTTTTTTACATGTCAATTAATACCACCAGGTTTATTGTTTTTTCTTTTCACTTTAATAAATACTCAATACTCAATTTAATAGAGATTAGGCGAATTACCAGTTAATTAGATAAGAATCTTAAAATCAAACAAGACTATTCTTTAAATTGAGAGAGAGAGAATTATTTATTTATTTATTTATTTATTTATTTACATTTACACTTTAGTGGATAATTTCTTGAAATAATAACTACTTACTGATTAATCTTCTAAATCTTATAGTACCAAATAAAATTTAAACAGATGAAATTCAATTGGATAATTATAAAATGATAAAGTATCCATTAAAGTTTTAATTTAATTACAGTTGTTTTTGGAATTTTAAACAGCTTTTCTATTTCTTTTCTTCTTATTTTATATCTTATCTTTTTGCTTCTTTCTTTTCTCTATTAAATCAAATTATTTATTAAAATGGTATTAGTAAGCTCCATTCACTTATTTAGTTTCATCTGTGTACAAGGTTTGTTGTTAGTATCTTTGAGGAAAAAATCGGCATAATTATATGAAGGGTAGGCCTGCATATAATTCACGTTTTTGAAGGAGATCTTGTCAGATAAGATAAATAAAAAATTATACTGATTCTATTAAGAAATTTATTTATTCTATTTTTATAATAAAAGATTCTGATCTATTCATCATCATATAGCATATTAGTATCTATTAAATGGTTCGGGAAAAGTCAAATCCTGTGCGATCATATTTTAAATTAGATATTGTAAAAAATCAATCTACTTGTAAACTAGAAAACTGTGGTAAAGTTTTAACCGGGGACCATGCAGCAAATCTTGAACGACATATAGAAAGATTCCACGATAAGGAATTCAAATTATTAAAAAAAAAAGAAGATAATTTGACTATTAAAAAAACAATAACAAAAAATGCAAATAATCATAATACAATTCAAAATGCTTTTACCAAAACTAATACAATACAAATTAATATTAATAAAGACACTTTAATCCGCTCCTGCACTGAGTTAATCACAGTTCATGGGAGACCAATAAAATCAATTGATGACAAAGCATTTAGAAATATTATAGATCCGATAATTGTAGGATTGGGTGGTAATTTAACCATCAATTCTGAAAATATACGCAATAATATTAAAAAAATGGCATTTGATTTTTCGCAAAATTTAAAAAAAGAAATATACCAAAAACTTATATCGTTAAAATTAGATATTGCAACTCGATATGATAGGTCCATACTGGGGATCAATATTCAATTTATAGATAATGGAGAAATAAAATTAAGAACGTTATGCATGAAAGAGATAAAAGAAAGACATACATCAGAATATCTAAAAAAAATTATTCTAGATGTTCTAAACGAACATGAAATAAGAATTGATCAAATTTATACGATAACCACAGACAATGCAGCTAACATGATTAAATTAATCAAGCTGTTAATACATCATGATGAAGAAGATGATGAAGATGATATCCTTAATGATTATTTAGATAATGATAATTTAAATAACAATGATGATATAATTGTTAATGAAAATGAAGAACCTTTTTTTAATATTGAAAGTATTAATCTTGTACCTCATACGAGATCCATGTTAATGGGCATTAGATGTGCCTCCCACACATTTCAATTAGCAATTAATGATTGCATAAAAAATTCAAATGAAATTGTTATTATTAATAAAGCAAGAAACATTTGCAAAAAAATAAGAAATCAGACTACAATGTCTATTTTGTCCAAATTAAATTTAAAAAAGCCACTAATAGATTGTTGCACAAGATGGAATTCAATCTATTTAATGTTGGAAAGATTATTAGAGTTAAAAAACTTTTGCCAAGAAATATCGGCCCAAAGTAATGATCGTGAAAAATGTTTGTCAGAGAATGAATGGAAAATAATTAGTGATATATTAAAAGCTTTATATCCATCTTATATTTTGACAAAATATATACAAAGTGAACAAATGACCATGGGCGATTTTTATGCAGCATGGATCAAATGTATCATGCAAACTAGTAAAATAGACACTTCATTTGCCAAACTTTTAGTTTGTACAATCAAACCACGAGAGATTAATTTGAAAAATGAAGTTTTTTGCTCAGCTATATATCTCGACCCAAGATATAATGTATTTTGATCATTTGAAGAAAAAGATATCGCCAAAAAACATCTTTATAAAACTTGGAACTTAATCCAAAATTTAAATAATCAGAATATTGAAAATGTAGATACTATTCCTACGTGTTCACATTCGAAAGATAACTTAGATGATGATTTTGAAGATTTATTAATGTCGCATGAAAGCCTTAATAAGAATAGTTCTCAGGGCATAGAAAATTATAATAAATGTGTAGAAATAGAGTATATAATTCGGTCATTTGATAATATAGAGAGATTAGAAAAAGATGCAAATCTTTTGAATTATTGGGAAAATGTAAAGAATAGTATGCCAGAACTTTATAAGTTAGCTATGGTTGTGCTAGCAGTTCCAGCTACGCAGGTATCCGTAGAAAGAGCATTTTCTAGCCTTAAGTTTATACTCTCTGCGCAAAGAACTAAATTAAATCCTGAAATATTAGAAAATATTTTAGTTATCCGTTCCAATTCTCTTTTTAAAAATAAATAATATAAATTTATTATATTTATGTGTTATTTTATTCCTCATTGTATTTGCGCATGTTTGTGTTTATCTTATTTATGAAATAAAAAGAATTGATTTGTCTAATTTATATTTACTAAGTTTAATAAAAATATCTATTAGATTATCATTCATGGTTAAATTAAATAAGAAATTATAAAAAGATTTTTCTCTAAAATTAATATATACATGGTTAATGATTAATTTTTTTTTAAAATTAAATTTATAAAAACCGGAACAAACCGAAAAGAACCGTTATAAATTATAAACCGAACCGAACCGATATGATTATTTTTTTAAAAAACCGAAATGGAACAAAACCTTTATAAAATTTTAAACTAAAAACGGGAACGAACCGAACCGTTATACTAAACGGTTCGAAACCCTGATAGCATGGTAAGAAAACCATTTCAAATGGCTTTTTAAACCAATAGTTTGTAGGCTCTTTTATTTATTAATAATGATAAGTGTAGAATTGTTTTATTGTTATATTGTTGAAAATATCTTAAAACTTTTAATTATAAGCTAAATATTTATAAAAATTGCAACTTAATTTTGGATTTAGTAAGTATGTTGGACTACTATAAAATAAGGACCTTAAGGAGAGATTCTGATTTTTAATAAATCCTAAAATTACCAGCATTGAAATTTCCTTTCCAAGATTTTGGAATAACTTTTTCTTATTAACTGACTTATTCTTCATTATTATTGATTATTGTATAAAAATTATAAAATTATTAAGATTATATATTAGGAATAAGATAGATTATATATTAAAATTTGCCTTTTATTTGTCTAGTGGTTTTTGTTGATTTACAGTCTTCATATATCTTTATAGACTAATTTTATTATAATATAAATTCATCAAATTTTAGATGATTTAATGTAACATATTGACGATTTAATTTAAACACATGCATATATAATTATATTATTTCTTTTGTTGTACATTGGTAAAGATTATAATTATATATGCATGTGTTTAAATTAAATCGTCAATATGTTACATTAAATCATCACAACACTGTACTTCTTGATAATTAATAATATAAAATGGGACCATATGTAATTTTATTTGAGACCTGCGCTCTTCATTTACTAATCATGATTACAAAATAAATACTCATAAAACTGTCTCAAATTATAAAATAAGGTTAAAACTTTGTTAAAACATTTAATTCATATGTAAATGTTTATCTTAATAAAAATTAAAATTTTGTCATGAAAAAATCTTTTGAATTTGACTTCAAAATTTTATATATTAAAAAATTTTTAATAATGAATTATATCAAAAGATCTTTTGTCTATAGATACACACTAATAAAAGCTATATTAGGATAAAATTTAAACCTTCCTGATAATTTAAAAATAGGATTAAGAGGTGTACTAAGCCCCAAAGTTTACCTAACACCAGTCTTCCCTATAAATATATTTTATATAGGTCATATTAGGATTTTAATATGTATTATATAAAAAAATATTTATGTGAATGTGAATATATATGACATATTGAAATAAGGATTCAATGGGGAATCGTGAATTTCTCAATTTTAAATAGTAACTGAAAGTGATTTTCAAAATTTTCAAAATCTAGTTTATTAGAAATGTATGCTAACATGTAAGAGATACCCACAACATATATTTTAAAGTTAGACAATTATGTCTAACCTTTAAAATATTTTTAATTAATATTCATTTTCATATATAGATCTTCATATTATATTTTTAAAAAAATATACTAAAGTTACTGGCAAAAATTATGTGAAATTTATAGGTTTATTCTACACATGCTAGTATACAATTTCGGTAAAATCTGTGTTTTAAGATTTTGTAGCCTTTCATATAAAAATTGAGAAATTCTTAATCCACATGGTTTTATCATATCCCAAATACTACGGGCAATAAAAAACTTTTAACAACACTTATTTTGTATATTTTTTAGGGTATCAATTTGCATTTGATATATAGTTTTTAAAATCAAAAAATATTAAAGAATGCCCTGTTGTGAGATGCGATTCATATTGTCGTAGAGTCATGAAGGACAATGGATGCTATTACTGCGACTGCTCAAGGACGCCACAACAACATAACAATAAATTTTAATAAATTATTTAAGTATAAAATTTGTGCTAAAAAATATGTTTATACCATTTTTCCCATTCATTTGTTTTTTATTATAAATTTTAAAAGTACAATATGATTATTAAAAATAATTATTTGTGAAAATCCGAATTTAAGTAGCTATTAAATATATTATTTTATTTCTAAAAATTATGTTGGCGCTGAAATTATAAGTGACATTGCTAAAAAGTGATTATATTATTTCTAATAAATTTGACAAATTATCTTTACTGGCTTTTAATATATATAGAATCTTCTAACATAGGGGTATGGTGCAATTGCATCGTTGAAATTTCAAAATGGACTTCGGAAGGGGGGGGGGGTGACACTCTTTTGGTCAATTAAAAATTAATATACATCGTCAGTAGAGCAACTTCATTAATGAATCATATTATATTTAAGTCACTAGAGAGTGTGGCGCAGTATGCAATATCTAAAATTAACTAAATTATATTAGTAAGACAATGCAAAAGTCTAATTTTTCCATCTTGATTTACAATGATATTCATAATATCTTGAACTGATGCAGGGTTTTCTATGTGTTTATAAGAGCTAAAGGATTATAGGAAGAAATAAAAATTAGGGTAAGTTGTTTAACAGTGTGGGCATTCAGTACTTTAGGAACTAGAAAATACATATATTGTTAGTAGATCATTAATATTTCTAATTTCAATTTTTATCCAGTGACAGATTTCTTTACATTTATTGATAAATTTGTTTTAATAGCATAAATACTCATAGTTCTTAAAAATTAGTAATATTAACAAAATTAACTTGCTTAATAATATAGGATAATTGAAATCTGGCTAGCAGCAATGCAGAACAAATTAATTGAGATGACATATTACCCATATCTTTCTTTGAACTAAATGACAATATATTATTCGAAATTTAGTAAAACTGTAAATATGCCCAATAATTCTGGATTTAATTAAAGTAAACACAAAACAAAGCGTTATGTAGATTTAAAAATATTATCGGAGAAATGATGCTATAAAACAGCATCGGGGTTAGTCGAACCAATTTTTACAAAATTGGCTATAGCTCTTGTTGTTTTATAGATAATATAAAAAATATAATATGATTAGATACCTAAAACTATACTCTATAAAGGTTCCTTATAAAAAATCTTAAAAATATAATCATTTTTTTTAAATTTATTTATTGTAAAAGTGAAAATTTTGTTCAACAAGCCCCAATAGCGGGGTGAGGCAAACCACTTCAAGGGGCTTCCTAAACCATTGGTTTTTTTAGGCCATAATAAATTGAAATGCATTTTTATTTATTAATAATGATATGTATAGAATAATTTAATTGTTTTATTGTTCAAAATATCATAATACTTATAAATTGAAGCTAATTATATATATAAATTGAAACTTAATTTTGGCTAATTTAATAAACATTTTGGACATAAAATAATATGAATTTTAAGGAGAGATTAAAATTTATTAGCATAAATCCTAAATAACAATCATAAACAGCCATGAAATTGCCTTTTCAAGATTTTAAGATTTTTTTCATTATTAATTACCATAATTGACGTGTATGGTTTAGCAAACCCCGCTAGCTCTAAATTGACAAATCATGATTGAAATAATATCTAGATTTAATAAATACTGATAAAACTTACCTAAATTATAGAAGAATGTTTAAACTTTATAATAAAATTTAATTTACATATAAATGATTATACATTTTAATAAAAATTAAAATTCTGTCATGTAAAAATCTTTTGAAAATTTCATCAAAATTTTATTTCTTAAATAAAATTCTTAGTAATTAATTATTTTAAAATATATTTTGTCCAATGAAAACTCTATTCGGATAAAATTTTAACCTTCTGGTGTATTTAATTTTAAAATGAGATTAAGTGGTTTGCCAATCCCCGGGGTTTACCTAACCCCAGTCTCCTTATCGTCAAAATCAGCTACAAATACTGCTCACATTTTAAATGAGATAGCTAAATTTTGCGGAATAAAAAAACAAAAAACATCTAGCTTTAGCTATGAAAGCGAAAATTTCAGTGTTTATTGTTTTGCTCATAGTTTACAGTCAATTATTTTTATTGCATGGAAGTAATCTAATTTAACATTGGTTCAAAGTTAGAATGGTTAATATATTTTTCTAAATATCTGGTCGGTTATCCTATTGGTTATAGATGATTGATTTGTGGATCGGCACAGCCCTAATCCCTAATCTTAAATACATTTTAAATTATCACTTGATTAAAATAATTTATAAAGGACCTAGTGAAGTTATCTAAAAGAGAAAAATAAATTATGGTAATATTATCTGTACTTAGAATTTTACTGTCTTAGGCAAAACAATTTTTAGAGACCATATTCAAAATTTAGGTTGGTTAAGTTTATATCGATTTTTTTCCATAATATTAGTTAAACTCTAAGAAAACAAAAAGTCTCTTAAAATCATTATTAAGTTATGTTTATCTATGCAATGCTTTAACACATATGAATATAATTACAAAATACACTGTTAATTTAAATAAGGCGAGTTGTATATATTCACAACCATGTTGTATATCGATATCAAAAATTTTATAGCTAAATATTTTATCTTACTTAATATTCTTTTGCAAGGCATGATATAATATTGAGGTATTTAATCTTTTAAGTGGATTTAACAAAGAAAATATATTAAAGAAGAAGCAAAATGGTTCGACTAATATCTGAAGTGTAAAAGGGGTGTATTGGAGACCGGGGATATATTGTCCATAAAAAATTGAAATGCTATAAAAAAAATAGCTGAATTACATTTTTCAAAATGTTTAACCTTAGCTTTAGATCCTACTGTAGAAAAAATCTTAAGTTTTTTATTAATATAAAATTTATAAAGGAAAATTTAAAAATTAAGAAAAATATCAGGGGTGCATATTATTCTTTCGGTTGCTTGTCATATCGCTTCTTTCCTTTTTTGATTTTTTAAAAAATTTTTATATAAAAATGTTAAATCTAATGAATGAAAATAAATTGTCAAACCAGGTTAATTTATAATATATATCACCCTGAAGAACTTGTTGTCACTTAAAACTAGTGGCTTTTAATGTTCTTATAAATTTAGTAGAATATATTTTATTGAAAATAATCATTACTTAAAAATGGCTAATACGAACCCCGCCAAAACCTGCCCCATATCTTCACAATTAATTACAAATTAATTTGAAGATATTAAATTCATAAATATTATCACTATTTTTATACATGAATTTATGTCTTTTAGAATTGATATTTAGTCTGAATAACATTTATAAAATAATTTCTTAGTAAAAAAATGTAAAAAATTAAAAATTTACTTTTGATGTGTTAAAATTTAAAATTGCATTTAAAATGTTGGGTGAAATATTTTTAGACCTTCTAAAGCACCTTATTAAAATACATATTTGGCGTAAATTTCAAATCTAAATATTTATTAGTTTTTAAATAATTTGTGAAGAAATTACATGTACCGGGATAACACTATCCCCGACTGATAATAGTTTATTCGAGCAAAATCTTAGAAAAAAATGATAATTTTACTTGTGATCGTGTATATTTCTCTCTTTCATATAAAAATGTTTTCTAGTTTTCTTCCAATCGAATTAACAACATGATTAATTTTTTTTTTCTCAAAGTCATCATAAACCTAGCGGTGATTAAGAAATTTATAAAACAATTCTTTTTAAATCGATCCAAAAATTAATTTTTATATAAACCTTACTGCATTCTTAAATATTGCCGTTTGATCCATACAAGATTTACCGGTGCGATAAGAGTAACCCAAAAACATAACAATCTACAATTCTTTGGGTTTTAATATTTTTCTGAAAAATTACCAAATCGTCGTAATGTCGAAAATCAAAATTTCGACGCTTTTTGTAAAAATGTCTAAATCAAAATTTTCTGCAAAATCTTTTTTTTTACATGAGCCTCGAGATTCAGTCATAAGAAAGCAAAACTTTTCTACCAAACATATGCCAAACTCGTTTCTCAAATAATATTATTTAGCCAAAATTATGTTTTGTTCTCGATTTTTTTAAAAGCACCTAACCTTCTTGTTTTTGACAACTTTACTCTTAAATATTAAATTTTGGCCTAACGAGTTTCAGATTGGTTTCTATGAATAACTGTTGATGAAATCTTTTAAAAATTTCTATTATTGAATTTAGATTTTTGGATGTATAGCAGCTTTAGTTAATTGTTAGAAATAAATGCTACTTTTTTAACCAAATTTATTAATTAGCTATATATATTTACATGAAGAAAGAGATTTCATAAACATGATAATAAATGATGTGCCTTATATGATTGTTCAAGATTTCTAAAAAAAGAATGAATTGAATTAATAATAAGAAAAATATATTAAGGTAACCTTGAATAAACAGCATTTATTCAAAATTATTTTTCTTAATTAATTTTACACATTTATATAAAACATAGAATTTTACAGTTGCCAAATTGTAAACAATCAAATTTATATATATAAAGGAGTGAAATACATGCAAATACATTTACATTATACTTAAAACTTTTTAAAATTTTTACTTCATATAAATAAGGTATGCTATTGTTATAATATATCTATCTATATAATTTTTTTCCTATATGTATAATAAAGTAATTTTTCTTAGATACCTAATACACATCTAAATGAACTACAAAGGATTATTTGCTATTTCCTTAGTCATGATGGCATTATTAAGTGTTATGGTTGAAGCTGATATTGAGGCGCATCCTGCAGAACCTGAGGAGGGACAAGGAAGGCACGGATTTATTGAAAGAAGTAGCTTAATATTCAAATATTTTAATTTAATTTGTGTTTAAATGTTGGAAAAGTTTGGATTTGTAATTTTTTTTTCAAATTTAGGACATAGCTTGTTTTTTTTAGGAAAAGTAAATAATCTTAAATTCATCTTTAAAAAAATTTTAATATTTAGGGGAGACTGGGGCTAGTTGAATTTTCTAAATCCACTATAACTTTTTTGTTCTTTTAGATATTATAAAGAACACTATATGAATCGATAGCTATTAATATACTCTATAAAAGAGACTTTTAAATATTTTTAAATATAATCATATTTTTGAAATTTTCCTTTATTTAAAAGTGAAAATTTTTGCCCAACAAGCTCCAAGCGGTAAAGAAAACCATGAGGCTTTATAAATTATTGGTTTTTATAAGCTATAATGAATTGAAATGCTATATCATTTACTAATAATGATATGTATAAAATAATTTTATTATTTAAAATATCATGATACTTTTAAATTAAAGCCAATAATTTATAAAAATTTAAACTTAATATTGGTTATTTAATCTTTGAAAATATATAAAATATGGACATTAAGGAGAGATTACGATTTCTTAGCATAAATCCTAAATACCAATCGCCCAGGCATGAGATTTATTTCCAAGATTTTGAAATATTTTTTTTCATATTAATTGCCATAAGATAGGTTTTATATTTTTATCCAAAAAATGTGGTGTAAACATTACTTCAAAAAAGAAAAGCGTTACTCGTTATGTCTGATAAAAGAAGCGCATTCCGTTACCCGTTACTTCTAGTAGAAGGTAACGAATAGCATTTTCTTCAAAAATAACACCGTTAGGAAGGACCTTATTTTTTTGACATTACTTTACAGCACCACTAAAAAATAATATATAAACTAATGAAGAATAAATTTGTACCTTTTTAATTGAAAGACCATAAAATATTTTGTTGGCTTTAATTATTTATAGTTCCTTCTTCTTCATCTTTGAATACTTAATTATTTTGCCTAAGTGAGTCAGTTTCTTGATATCTCTTTTAATATTTATGAAATTTGATCTAGATATACCTAAAATTACATTGCTAAATAAAATGTTAGTTTAGCTCTAGATAATTATTAATATAAAATGTAGGGAACACCAATAAAACTTTCTAAATTTATTAAAGAGTGTTATAACTTTGCTATAAAATTCAATTTATTATTAAATAAAAAAAAATAAAAATAAAAAATAAATGATTATAACTTAATATTGAAATTATGTTAAGTAAATATCCTTTGAATTTGACATCAAGATTTTATTTCTCTTAAATAAATGAATAATTAATTATTTTAAAAGATTTTGTGTCCATAGATACATACTAATAAAAGCTATATTGGCATAAAATTTGAGCCTTCTAGTCTAGTTAATTGAAAAATGAGATTTAGAAGTTTTCCAAGCCTCTGGGTTTACCTAACCCCAGTCTCCACTATATATATATATATATATATATATAAATAAATTATATCGGTAATATTAGGGTTTTATATTATGTAAGATAGTAAATTTTTTATGTGAATGTGAATATGATGAATTCCTTATCAAATCAACAATAAAAAAGTCGATTTTCAACCCGACCCCCTCAGGATTTTTTATTGGTAGTTTACATTATAAGAAAAAAAAATTAAATTTTACTTCCTTACACTACACCGCTTACTCGCTTATATATGGACGTTTAAAGAGCGGAAAAATGGTATATTTTTGACAAAATTCACTTCATAAATTTTCACATATCTCAAGTACAAATTAGGTTAGAGCAACAATTTAAATTTTATTGTATATCTTCAAATAGATCTTTATTATGACATAAACAAATGTGATAGAAACTCGATTTATACAAAAAGTTAGAAGTACAAAACCGGAAATGGCCATAGAAAAAAAAAATTTTTTCAAATTGCTTAATATTTAAACAAAATTCTAGACTGGACTGAACGTTGACTAGGAGTTATGACCCTTTATGACAAAATTTAACAAAAATATGTATTATTATATTTACCAGGTCCAGTTGCAAATATATGCCATTCTGCATTTATCTCAACATAATTTTCATACTTGAGTTTTTTATTTTAATATTGATCAACTTATAACAACCAAATTTAATGTTTAATTATGCAGTCGTTCTTTTATTTTTGATTTACGCTAAAATAAAATATTTAAAATTATATTTCAAAGTAACTTCAAGAGAAAATTTCACCAAAGTGTCAAATAAACCACATTGACGCCCCCTCCCCATTAATCGGGATTCCAATACATTTATTTTTATATCCTATTAAAGATCTACTATTGAGCTATATAATAAAATTAAATAATTGTACTAACCTAATATAATTTTGAGATATTTGAAAATTAGAAGTGCATTTTATCAAAAATGTACCATTTTCCCGCAATTTAAACACCCATATCTTGGCTAGTAAGTGGGAAATAAAACTTCATTTTTTTCTTAGGCATAGTGTATACTACCAATAAAAAAAATCTTTAAAATTCTGAGAGAGTCGGGTTAAAACTTTGTTTATTTTGTGCGGGAATATAATTATTGTGAAATCGGATTTTAATATTTTGAAAATGGCTCACTAAAATATTTATAAATTGAGAACATTAATTTTTAGTTGGGTAAGAAAAAATTTTTAGCAATAAAAACACTTATGTTGTATATATTTGGTTTCAAGTTGGTGATATATATTCCTATAAATCAATAATATTATAGTGTGCCCTCGTGTGACATGCTCACTTTCCTGTAGCAAATATAGACGTAGAAACGGATGTTGTTATTGCCAATGCTGGGATGATTGGGACAAAAAATTTTGATAAATTATTTAAGTGTAAAATTTACGCAAAAACATGTTTATACCATTTTTCCTATTATTAATTTTCTATTATATATTACTTGAAAAAAAAAATTATATAAGAGCATTTTTTGTGAAATTCTGAATTTAAACTGCTATTAAATATATGATTTTATTTTAATAAAAATCAGTTGGCACTGAAAAAATATGAGACATTGCTAAAAAGTGATAACATAATTTTAAATAAACTTTATCATATTTGTACCTTAGAGTGATATATAATATAAACAAAATATTCTAACACGGGAACACAGTGTAATTATATCGTTGAAATTTTGAAAGGAACTTGGGTAAGAGTGACTCTTTAACTCAATAAAATATTAATAATATCATTAGAGCAACTTTATAATTAAATAATTTTATATTTTAGCTACTGGGAGGAGATCTGCAGTAAATACCTAAAATGAACTAATTGTCCTCAGAAAGATACTGTAATAGTCTAATTTTTCTTTCTTGATTCACCATGAAAGGGAGTCAGTGTATAATTCATAAAATCTTGAACTGCTTATATTTTTTTAAGAGCTAAAGAATTGGTTAAAGAATTTAAGATTATGATAAATTTGATTATCAAAGCGGGAATTCAATACTTTGGAACCAGAAAAGGCATATCTTGTTAATCGATCATATTTATTTCTAATTTCAAATTTTATTCAGTAAAACAAATTTTATTTTTTTGTTTTATAAATTTGTTGTAAATGTCATAAATACACATAGTTCATAGTAATTAGAATTTCCTTGCTTTGGAATACGGTATTAGAATCTGGCAAGCAACAATGCAGAAATTGTAAATCCAGATGATAAACTACCGTTATTTTTCTTTCAAACGATTGACAACAATCGCCTTCTATAAATCTTCCCTCTCTATTTGACAATAATTCTGGTTATTTAAAAGTAAGCAGAGAGAAAAGAATTATGTATATTTTGAAGTATTTCACATCGAGATATATTTTGAGGCATCAGCGGTAATAATTTAGAAAATGTGTACTAAGAGAGGAATATAGTTGAAGCAATTGTATAGGAAATTTAAAAATTTAAACAAAACCACTTTTCTTACTCATTATAATAATTTGACATTGACACTTTCCCTATTAAAGACATTCAGAAAGAAAGAAAGAAACTAGGACATTTTTTTAAAACTTCTTCATTTTTGGATAGCAATTTTAATTTTCAAAAAAAATAAAATAGTTTTAAAATTAATCGTTAGTGTACTATACAAAAATTTTATCGCCAATTTGAGGTTGGCCAATATTTTTAAAAAATATTATCAAAAATAACGATATCAACTTCATGCTTAAATAATTAGAGTTTAATTTCACAAACGATTTGAGTAAAGTTTTCTTAAACTAACTTTATCAATTTTGCTAAACGTATTCAATGTAACTCAATATTTAAGAACATGAAAAAATATAAGTGCGAACGAGATTATTTTCCACACTTTTAATATTTTATTCAGATAGTCATATCAAAAAATTGGAAAATAAAAGATTTCCTTCTAGATTTTAAAATTCCAGGATTACAATTATGCCATAAAATGTTTGAATATTTTCAATTTTCTTGTGCGTGTATACAAATATCCGAAAAGAAATTGAAATTGTTTTTATTATTCGTATTTTACAAATATTCGATTTAAGACGATTATTATTCTATAAAACTTATTTTGTAATTTTTATTAATAAAAATATAAATCAATAACAACTATTTTGAAAGTAAGCACTTTCGAGAGTGTGCTCAATTTTTCAGGTTTATATTTGACCATTCCTATTACAAAATTTGTGGTAGGTATTTAGTTCTGTTAAATGGCTCTATTTTTTTTTAAAAAATATATATTATTTTTGTCATAACTATTAAGCCTGAATATATTCATAAACGTAAGAAAAGGTATGGATGGTATCGAAATCTCGAGAGTTCATAATATTGTTTTGGCTAAAATCTTAATTTAAATATTCGTCCCTATTAGGCATTTAATAGTGATGTTAAGGTAACTAGTTACATTTTGGCTAAAAAATAACTGTAACTAGTTATAATTTTTAAAATGTAACTGCCAAAAGTAACTAGTTACTTTTAAAGATATATTTAAATAATTAATTTTATTTTAAATATGTTGTGATAAATTAATTTTAAATTAAATTTATGTGAAAATGTCTGATTGTTATAATTTCCCGTTCAAATTGATTTTCTTTTCTTAAATTGTTACATTGCTGCTAGGCTTCATATTTTTGTAAGCAAATTCAAGTAACAAATGTAGCACAATATATTTTTTTTCCGTCAAGTAACAAGCATTGGAACTTCATATCATACGTAATAAAAAAAATTTTTGCGATATTTTTATATATAAATAAATTGTATATTATTTTAAATAACTGATTAAACTTTGTTTATCCTTATTTTTTTTATATTAAATAAATGCATTCAATAAATAAATAATGCGCATATGAATGATGTATAAAGTAAGTAACTAGTTACTTTTGAAAATAACTGTAACTAATAACTAGTTACTTTTGTAAAAATGTAACTAGTAATTGTAACTAGTTATGTTTTTGCCAATGTAACTATTAACTGTAACTAGTTATGTTTCAAAAGTAACTTTTAACATCACTAGCATTTAAAAACGTATATTATTCACAGGTCAAATATGATTCGGTCAATAAATGTTTTTTTACTCTAATATTAACTTTATTTTGTATATAAATATAATATTATAATGAATCAATGTAATATTAAATTTCATAATATTTTTTTAATTAATTCCATAGTTAATGCTCCGCCCTCTATGGCAGTCTTGTTCCGATTCATATTCAATATTATTTTTCTTTAATATTTTTATCAATCGAAGTTATGATATAATTATGCTAATTTACATGTAAGTCTTCAATCGATTTTTGTTTTTCGTATAAATATTGCCCCAAACCGAACAATTTTTTTTTTTCTGAAGAAGTCGAACTAGGTAATTTTAGTAAAATATTAGCCACTTCTCTTAATGGGCGAGATGGGTAAAACGAATTCTACCAACCTGAGACCGAATTGCTTCTTATGGAAATTACCACTTTCCACTTATTATGGCTATTAAATATACCGCTCTTACTTCTGAAATCTATCTATCACTTGGTTATCACCCTTGTAAAATACTTAATTCTTCTATTATATCACATGCTTCATCAAATTCAGTCCTAGTAAAATGCCCCTTGATATTGGGAACCCAATAAATAAATATAGATCATTTTTCTCTTTTCAAACTTAACTTTAAATTTTTTTCTTCAGATGGAGAAAATAGAATCATGATTGTTATTATGTTTCCAAATTATGCATCTCGTTATGCCGTGTAATTAACCATAGTCGTATTGTTACATTATTTTTAAAATACAAATAAATTATTCATAATCGCAATATACAAAAAGTCGACTATATATATAACATATTTTTTGATAATATATAAAAAAATCCCACCCCCTTAAGTTCAACAATACACCCCCTGTATGTATGTTTTAAAAGAAAAAGTAGAATGAGACTTTAGAGTCAGAATCAGGTATAAATACTGCTTTCATTTTAAATGAGATGGCTAAATAGAATAAAAAATTCAAAGTGTCTTGTTTTGCCCATAGTTTATAGGTAATTGTTTTTTTTTGCATGGAAGTAATCTATTTTATTATGACATTTTCAGAGTTAGAATAATAAATATATTTTAATCTAAATATCGTTTCGGTTATCATATCTGTTATGTTTCGAATATCAAAAATAACAAATCGGTAATTAATTGGCGGAGCGGCACAACTCTTTTCTTAAGTACATATTAAATTACCACTCCAAATGAAGTTTAGAAAAAATAAGAATAAAGGATAGTACTATTTGCCTTACTTAGACTTTTACGGTCTTAGGGAAAACCATTTTGCTTTACCCCCCCCTATTATAAATTTAGGTTGGTTGAGTTTTTATGGATATTTTCCCCAAATTTTAGCTAATTAAAAAAATTGAAAATAAAATGGTCTCTTAATTATCATTGAATGTTTATCACGCAATGCTTTAGCAAATATCCAATAATTACAAAATAAACTGGACTCGTATCATGTGTTCACAACCTAGTTGTATAACGATATTAAAAAATTTTTAGCTGAAAATTTTATCTTTCTTGAGATTCTGTTTGCAATGCATATTATAATATCTAAGTATTTAATCATTTAAGTAGGTTTATCAAACCCAATAAATTAAAAAGAACCCAAAATTGGTTTGTAAAATATCTGGAGTGTATTTTTAGATTTTTAAAAATTTCTTTTATATATAAATGTTAATTCTATTAAATAAAAATGTTAATTCTATTAAATAAAAATGAATTGTCATATATATTAAATTTAGATTTTAGAAAACAGCTAACTTAATAGTGTCCGACCGAGTTGTTAAGGAGCGGCGCTCCTGGAACGCCGCTACAAATTTTCAAAAGCACCTGGAGCGCAGCTCCTTTTTAAAATTGAGAAGGGGGAGATAGCTCTTTTAGGGCTGGAGTGGAGGAGCGCCGCTCCATCGTTCCTTTAAATTGAATGTATAAATTAAATTATTTTTTAAATATTAATAATATTTTTTAATTAAATTCAATAAAAATGAAATTTTATTTTATTTAAATTTATCCATTATTAATTGTTTAGCCGAGTTTTATATTGGTTTTTCATCTAATCATTTTAAATATTAAACATCAAATTTTCCTTTTTATATTGAAAATTTTTTGGAAAATCTTGTAAGTCATATTAATATTCATTTTATAGATATAATAAAAAATAGTTTTAGATATTATGATTTAGAGATCATAGATGAAGAAATCGAATTTCCATTTATACAAAAAATATTTTAAACTTTCAAAGCAGCTTCAATCTAAAAAAGCATCTAAGAGTAAAAAATCTTTCTTTTATTTACAAATTGATTTGGAAAATATTTTTTGGATTCCATGAAATTTATCATCCAGGAAGATAATATATTGGACAAATATTTTTTAAATAATGATACCAAAATTACTATTTTTGATAAATTCCCTGAATTAAAAAATATCTTTATAAAATACAATACCCCGCTTCCCTCTAGTGCTCCTATGGAGCGCCTATTTAGTTTTGCAAAAGAGGTCTTAGGGGAGAGGTGTGGATATTTGTTAGTTTCTAATTTAGAA